TGGTGTATTTTATGTACGAGCAAAATCTCATGTCCTGAGTTGGTCAAAAAATATCTCCGAATCTAGCTTTGGACATCAATTTATTTAAAAATTTGGTAGCCCTATAATATTGGAGTTTATATTATATATCTTTTTTTTATAAAAATGGAAACATTTTACACAAAGTTATAATTTCCAGAAGGTAACTCTGAATGACAGTCTGTTACTATATTTGATTTCCTGGGAAAACTAAAAAAGCATCCACAAAATGTTACCATTTTACATTCCAACCGATTAAATTTTTTTCTCCTTAATCTTCTTATCATGTGAAAGTTGTCTATTTTATGTATATAAAAATATAAATACATATATAAACATAATTTGTCTTGATCTCTCACATATTTTCTTGGCTATCAACAGATGATAAGGGTATGAAAAACAGAGAGAGGAAAAAAAAGATTTTAACTGAGGAAAGATTTGAGATTATTTTAAGAATGGCTTCACTTGGCTATGTGTTGTTTTTACCTTTTTTTTTATTTCCAAGGTAAACACCAGCCAGAGTACCTGCAGGTGAATTAAAGTTTAAATTGACTGGAAATGGTTAGATTGTGAAATTTGTTTTTCTACCCTCCATCTGTGAAGATCTTAATTTAACCGGATTTCATGATTTTTCACTGTTGCTGTTCTTTTAGGCAAAATACGTTTGAAACCTGCGAACATTTTTTTTTTAAGTACTGATTTTTATGTTAAAATTGAATGCCGATTGAATTTAAGGTTGACGGGAATTGGGAACGGTGATATACATGTATATATAATGCATTAACTGAGTGACATTCTGATTTTTTATACGTTCTTTTTTATTTTGGAGGAAAAGGAAATCATATGATGGATAGTTATTTAGATTAATGGACTGTGAAACAACCGGATTGTGTCGTGTATATTTCTTTTGTGTTAAGTCCGTAATGAGATCAATTACTGACGATAAAAAGATTTATTGTTTATTTTTGTGAAAAGAAGGGAGGAGTGTGGTGGTATGAGACATGTTTTAAATTAAACTTGATGAAGAACATTTAAAAGTTTACATAACAATAATTGATACAAACATTCTTGACAATCTTGTGAAATTATGAAGCAACCTCCAGGATTGAACCCACAACTGGAAGCTCTTGCCCAGGAGGTTCTAACAAAGTAAGTGCTGGTTAAACTTTGATATTTTCATATTGATACTAAATTACTGGAAATACTGTGACTGATTGTTGCCAATGTGTTGTTTGATTTAACTTTTAAGGGTACTTTGAATTTTTGCTGAAGAGAGCAATTTGGCTGAGTTGTAGGAATCTTGATTCTGGATCCAGAGTAGTCCAAGTAATTGTGCTGCGCGATGAGATATTGTGCTATTTTGTGTCTTGGCAATATCTCGCCTCTAGAAGTGAGATTCTGACCCAGAACGAAAAATATCACAGAATCTGACTTTGGCACGTCAATATATTTTGACTAGAACAACTCTAGGTTCCGGGTTCAAGTCTTATTAAAGACACAGCTGTTCATAGGTACCAGATGAAGTCAGGACAGAACAAGTAAAATTATAAAGCAGGAAATGAACTTGTGTGGTGATAAAATGCTTGGTATTATTTCTTTGTTCCTCTTTCTTTGTTTCTATGTAATTTATATCTTTCGATCATAAATTACAATATTTCGTAGAAGATAGTAAACAAATCATCAGTCCATTATTTACATGAACGAAGGGGGAAATTAAACACCAATTGTGTATTATCATTCAATCATTATGTCAATACGACATTTTTCAGTTTAATTTTACACTACATTGTCAAGTTCAATTTGAATCGGACATGGCCGGTTTGATTTGGACATAATTATATATATAGCCCCTGGGCAAAAATTTGTGCGACAGATTTTAGTCTGACAAATTTTAAGTCAGTCACTTGTGAAATTTATAATTATAGGTAATTATCTAATGCTCATTTGACCATGAAATTTGCCAGTCTGTTTACCTGTGCTAATGAGTGGTAATTGTCTGAAAATATCCAATGTGAAATAAATCAAGCAGAAGTCAATTAAGTAAGTTATAAAACTTATGAAGTGTGAAGGAAATATTGGTATATTGATAGAGGTATTGGTTGTTGGACATAAAAATGTAATAAAATTGTTTGAGGTTAAGATATTTTGTTGCCTTATTTGAATGACTGCCTTTTGAATTAAGAAAATGTTGTTACAATAAAGGTCGTGACCCCAGCTTTGTAAACACCAATATCCTGTACATGAAAGATTGAACTGTATGGGCAAGCATGAACTTCATTTATAGATAACTTAATTCAAGAATACTTTATTTATTTGAGCTTTATTCATATTCACATATGTACCATATTTCCCATAAGGTGATATACATGTATTAGAATAAGTTGGAATTATTCTTGAAGAGAAAGTGTATAAAAATCTATGGTAATTTATTTCTCACCTTGAATATCCCTTCATAAAAGGAGTTTCTGAACAAGGGGAGGTAACCTAATATTCTAAAGTTGTATAAAGTTCCTTATGGGGAAAAGGTTAATTCATAAATATGTAAACCATTAACGTCAGGTTGCAGCCATATTAAAATAAGATAAGCCAGGTCATTTCAGGACAATATTTATACCCCCAAAAACGAAGTTTGGGGGGGGGGGGGGGGTATATAGGAGTCACCCGTAGTCCAACTAATTGTACTGCGCGACGAGATATTGTGCTATTTTCGTGTCTGGGCAATATCTCGCCTTAACAGCAAGATTCTGCCCCAGAACGAAAATATCTCAGAATCAAGCTTTGGCACGTCAATATATTTTGACTAGAGTCACCCGGTGGTCAGTCTGTCGGTCGGTCCAGACGTCCGTTGCATTTTCCTTGTCCGGAGCATAACTTGAAGACTAATGGTTGGAATTCAATATAACTACATACAATGGTCAAGCACATTGAGAGGAAGTGCAGTGCACAAGATCCATAACTCTATCTTGACTAATTACAGAGTTATTGCCCTTTGTTACTTTTCCTTGTCAGGGGCATAACTTGAAAACTACTGGTTGGAATTCAAAACAACTTCATACAATTGTCAAACACAATAAGGGGAAGTGCAGTGCACAAGAACCATAACTCTATCTAAAGTAATTACAGAGTTATTGCCCTTTGTTGCTTTTCCATTGCTTTTTTTGTCCGGACCATAACTTGAAGACTAATAGTTTGAATTCAATATAACTACATACAATGGTCAAGCACATTGAGAGGAAGTGCAATGCACAAGAACCATAACTCTATCTTGACTAATTACAGAGTTATTGCCCTTTGTTACTTTTCCTTGTCCGGGGCATAACTTGAAAACAACTGGTTGGAATTCAAAACAACTTCATACAATTGTCAAACACAATAAGGGGAAGTGCAGTGCACAAGAACCATAACTCATTCTAAAGTAATTACAGAGTTATTGCCCTTTGTTACTTTTCCATTGATTTTTTTGTCCGGACCATAACTTGAAGACTAATGGTTGGAATTCAATATAACTACATACAATGGTCAAGCACATTGAGAGGAAGTGCAGTGCATAAGAACCATAACTCCATCTTGACTAATGACAGAGTTATTGCCCTTTGTTACTTTTCCTTGTCCAGAGCATAACTTTAAAACTACTGTTTGGAATTCAATACAACTTCATACAGTTGTCAAGGACATTAAAAGGAAGTGCAGTGCACAAGAGCCATAACTCCATTTTGACAAAATACAGAGTAACTGCCCTTTGATACTTTTCCTTGTCAGGAGCATAACTTAAAACGTACTGGTTGGAATTCAAAACAGCTTCATACAATGGTCAAGCACAATAAGAGGAAGTGCAGTGCACAAGAACTATAACTCTATCTTCAGTATTTATAGAGTTATTGCCCTTTGTTCTTTTTCTTTGTCTTTCTGGACTTATTACAGAGTAATTCAATTAAACTTCATCAATGGCCAACCACATTGAAAGGAAATGCAACATACATGAACCACAATTATCTTTAATTGCCCACAACCATAACTCTATGTTTCAATTCTTTTACAAGGTATTCTGTTACTAGTAACATCCTCATTTCCGAAGCAGACTTGTGGTGGTATTAATCACATTTAGTGATAGTTCTAGTTTCATACGAAATAAGCAGATAAAAAAGGGTTAATGTCCAATGCTTAACTGGAGTTTTCCTTAAAGTCCTATGATTAGCCTGGCTAATTTAGCCAATGGAAGATGATTAAAAGAAAGATGTTCTGTAATGGAGAAAAGATTAAAGCATTCAGCATCTGGTGAATATATTTAATTTGTGAACCAGTGAGCATATCAAAGCCATGCCGCAGGGATGGAATGCAACTTTAAGCAACTGATACATGCTTAAAGTGCCAGACAGTGTACCATTTCAAAAAAATTAGTAGTGTTTTACACTTTTAAGTACATTAGCAGAACATATTCTGAAAGGTCAGATTTTCAATCAAGCAAGCATTTTGCATGGTTACTGGAAATCTGTAAAACAAGTTGTACCAATCTGATTTATTAATTATCACCTTCTGTGTGCCTACGTTGATTAAGCAAACAAGTTTGTGTATATGAATAAATAGATATGAGCCAACTGAAAGGCTTGTTATGGTTTTAATTAACTTTCTATGGTTGATATAATTATAGTTGAAATAATGAAACTGTATATTTTGGAGTCCTTATATATCTTGTATGTTGTTTTTTTCAGGGAGTAACCCATTTTTTCTATGCAACCAAATATATTTTGGGGGAGAATCCCTTATTTTCAGTAAGCTTACATAGTTGTGTTTCAGGGAGCATTCCTTATTTTGAGTGAGATTACACATTTATGTTACAGAGACTACACAATGTCATGTCTTTTATTTTTCCAGGAATCAGCCCATATTTTGTCTGAGATAACACATCTTATATCATTTATGGGAGCATTTATTATTTGTCCCATTAAATATTTATCTTACATATTTATCTTATATCGTTTCAGGGAGCAGCCCATATTTTCTGTGCGATGCCATGTATTCCAAATTGACCCAGAGACGAAAAAGAATTGGTTACCAGCCAGTAAAACATCCGTCGCAGTCTCCTATTACTATGATAGTGCTAGAAACACTTACAGAATCATCAGCGTGGAAGGGTCCAAGGTAAAAAAGGGGACCTTTATATCTTAGCGATGACCATTATATTTATATACTAAGTTAAAATTTGATAATCTTAAAACTTTTAAAGTAATTGCCAGTGTTACCCTCATTTACAAACGATAGAAAGTAAATTTTCTTATGTGGCTGATGGGTTGTATTAAGGTTGAGGCATCAGATTGCAGCCATCGTTTATCTCTGCATGATCGTAAGAGGCAACTAAATGGGTTCCATGCATCTATGCCTCTCTTAGCTCCAGCAAGTGAGGTGGTTTTGACCCCTGGTGTTGCTTTAAGTTTGTAACACCTGAAGTCAAAATCTTCTTTCCGGTTTCAGCATCATACGACCTAAATTGTGTTGGTGCGCTGACTCCAGACATACGTTGTATTTTCATCAATAAAAGTTGGGCAATAGTTGTAACATTACTGCATAAATTGCGATATAGATTTTGTTATATAATAATACTTATGAACTGAATATCATTACTGTTTTGTTTGTTTGTTTAATTGGGTTTTACGTGACACTGACATAATATAGGTCATATAGCGCCCTTCCAGCTTTACTGATGGAGGAAGACCTCAGGTGCCCTTCTGTGCACTATTTCAGGCACAAACAGAGTAGAACCACCAACGTTTTGTAAGCTAGAATATCATTGCCGATTAGCCTATCAGGCTAAAATAGACGTATAGTAACATAGTTTATATAAATATTTTGACCTTAACTTTCAGGCCATCATTAACAGTACCATTACACCAAACATGGCCTTCACGAAAACGTCACAGAAGTTTGGGCAGTGGTCAGATCCTAGGGCAAACACAGTATATGGGCTTGGATTTAGCACCGAGGCTGACCTTGCAAAGGTATGTGTGACTATTTTAAATGTAAATTCAGCTTGATTATTATGAAAGCTTAAGGATTATTTGAACACTTAAGAGTCTGCTTCCTGGCACTAACCAGCACTCAGGTGTCCTATGAAGAAACATGATTGTGAGCAAAGTATGGCTCAAACCCATGACCCATGGGCCAAGAGGTAGATACCTTGACCACTATAACAGGCTCCCTGGATAATATAAGTCTGAATATAAAATTACAAGTTCGTAGCTCAAATTTTATATTTTGATTAAATATGAAATCCCTTAAATTTTGAATGGACTATTCCAAATTCAAAGCTTGGCAAATCCATTACACAAATTCAGGAGAATTAAGGTTAAATGTTTATTTTGCAAGGAGATCGTAACTGATTTCTGTCTTTCCACCTGGCAAATCTTGCATCGAAGCTTTTGTCTTCATTCATGACTTTTATTCTCTTTCAAGGAGATTTGTTTTGAAATTTAATATGGTGACAGATGGCAATATAGAGGAGATGCATGATGCATGCATGAGTCATAACTTTTATAGAATGTAAGCTGCACTGAATGTAAAAATCAGTGCATCAGTAAGGGGTGTGGGGAGGAATGTAAGTGGTTAAGTGCTACTTATGGTTGGTTGCATAGAGTTTGCAAATGGCATGTTTCAATCTACTGTAGGTTCAAATCCTGCTGTTCTAACTTTAAAAAAATGTAAGCTTTACAGGGGGGGGGGAGGAGTGTTAAAAATCTAATCTACCTCAGTAAGGTGTGTGGGGAGGAATATAAGAAGTTATGTAATATTTCAAAGGGTTTCAAATCACATGCCTCACTTGAAGTCCTGCCCTGGAATTATTTTCTACAGGGAATCTGTTTATGACTAAGGTAGCTTACACAGTAAGTTTTGTTACATATATTTTAACAAGGTAACTCCCAGTATCTTTAAGCAGGTCCTAGCTAAAAAGCACCTGGCTTCTCTTTCTTTCTCTATAATGGAAGCTAAAAAATTGTCATATTACCTTATTAAGACAACATTACTATAGCTGGAATTTCTAAACCATTTCAACCCTTTCCTCCTTTCTTTAAGAGCAGGAAGAAAAATTGGCTGCCATATTTTACTTGGTCAGTTCAATTTAAAGATAAAAATAGATTAAAGTATTTGGTCAAGTAGATTGTAACCATTGGTCAAGTTTGATCTACTTCAGTTAAATCTATATAAGGTTACAGTATTGATTCTTACCTTTTCCTCATTGATAGATAATGCTTGTGTAAACTAATAGATCTCTGATCAATGTAATATGATGGTCACTTTTCATTAAAAGGTAATGATTCAAAATTTCCCGTCTTAAGTGACAGGCGTTGATAGAAATGTGTCAAATTAAGGTGAATTTTTATCATGAGTTGAAAAAAAATTAAATTGACAATCTTATAATATGGTTACCTCCCCTTATTTTGTTGTCTTCGTTTCTAGAGTTGTCTTTCAAGGCAAATTTGTAGGTTTATGCTGTTTGTAGTATTATTGATTACTAGGTCATCCAATGCAGACTTGCCTATATAGTCTAGTCAATTTGTAACAAAATATGCCATAATTATAATGTAACTTTTCTTTTTTAATTGTCTAACAGTTCATTGAAAAGTTCAAAGAGGTAAAAGAGATGACACGGCAACAGTTAGTGCAAAGTCAATCACCGACAACAGTAAATGGTACTGGTGATGATAGTCAATCATCATCGTCAACGACCACGCCCAGGGAAACTCCGCCCAATAGAGGATTCTTCCATACTAGAAGTTCTAGTCTTACCTCTATGAGAGAACCTCAGGTAAACTTTTTTTAAAGCCTATTTCAGCTTTTTTTAAATGATAAATAAGTTATTTTCAGATAAATCATTTCATAGAATTGTCAAATCAAAAAGATTACGGTGAAAAATGAAATTTGGCATCAACAAAATTCATAAACAATATGGAAACCCCTCGATGCCCTTAATCTATCGGTCCACTCTCTTTACGTCAATTTGTAAAAGTAACTGACGCGCTATAAATAGCTCTCAGAAAAAGGCCCAACAGTGATATGATGCATTTTTCCAAGACAAAATTACTGAAATACTGAATTGGAAACAATACAGAATTGAGCCGTGTCACGACAAAACCAACATAGTGCGTTGCGACCAGCATGGATCCAGACCAGCCTGCGCATCCGCGCAGTCTGAATAGGATCCATGCTGTTCGGTATCAGTTTCTCTACTTGTAATAGGGTTGGTAAGCGAATAGCATGGATCCTGATCAGACTGCGCGGATGCGCAGGCTGGTCTGGATCCATGCTGGTCGCAAACGCACTATGTTGGTTTTGTCGTGACACGGCTCATTTGGAATAATTTCAGCAGCAAACAGAACAGAAAGAAAACATAAACCTGAAAGAGAGAAGAAATTCCTTTAACAATCCCGGCTCAAATGGTAGTTCTTCTCCAGAGAGTCAACTCAAGTACGAGAATGACCGATTAAAACTTGCTTTAGCTCAAAGGTAAGCAGTAGAGCATATTGATCATTAAGGCAGTGCCAGTTTATTAAAAAAAAAAAAAAAAACAATATTTATTTTAGCTTGATTGTGAAAGTTTGTCTGAACGAGTTCTAAGTCAGCTTGTTGGAATTAACCTGTACTGATGTCATATGAGGAAGCACGGTCTTCACTTGTGAAGGGAGGAACCCATTGTCCCTAGATTGAGAGGCAAGCATCTTGACCACTAGCCTACCTGCCTCAGTACAGCAATGTTTTTCATATGAAAGTTTTTGGCTAGTTCATTTGATTTCTGGCTGGTACAATGTTCAGTGGAGGGGACTGGTATTATTTATCTAAGCAAAATTGAAAAATTATTCTGCTTGTGATAAATGTATGAAAATGAAAAAGTTTTTTTGTTGTTTTTTTGTTTTTTTGTTGTTTTTTTTGTGATTGCAAGCATGTTATCAGAACAAAATTAGAACAGAAAATTATATGTAGACCAGGCATGTGCATATTTAATGTATTTAAATTCTTAAAATTCTGAGAAATGTATTGAGCAAGCCATCTTCCAAATTTTACCTTATAAAAGTCATGATGTTGCATGGCAAATAAATGTTAATATTATAATATAATAAGATATTAATGTGATTATACCCACAGTTCGGCAAATGCGAAGAAATGGGAAATTGAGTTACAGACATTAAAAAACAATAATGCTCGACTAACGGCAGCTTTGCAAGAATCTACGGCCAATGTTGAAGAGTGGAAGAAGCAACTTGGTGGCTACAAGGATGAGACCTCAAGGATGAAGAAAAAGGTTAGACAGTTTTGTGCGAATAAATTGAATATGACACACAAAAAATTATTTGTTTTATTATTGGAATTTCTATGCTTGTAGTGAACATATCTTTGAGTTGAAACATTATTTATTTATTTATAAGCTGTATTGCCATAAAAGCCAGAATAACTTCCAGGCCAAATGGAACTAATGGAATGGTACTTGTGTAATTTTAGGAAAAATGATCATGAACCCTGTAGGGATCGAACCTGCAATCCCATGTTAATTGGCATTCAGAATGTTAAGAATTAATGGTAGGCAAGGAAACTTTTTACTTCTGGGGCACGAGAAGTCATATAGGGCAACTTATATTATCAAACATATCTATACATGTTGATGAAGTCAACCAGATAGGTTCAAAACCGGGAAATCATAATTTAAATATTGTTCATATTTATACGATGTTGACATGTGGTTTCTTTGTATTCTTCCTTTTCATCCAGCATATCTATACATGTATAATGGTCATGTATAGTTAATTATACGGGGGAAAAATTGAGACTTGAATTTTTGTACTTTCACAGATTTCGGAGCTAGAAAAGAGCCAGAGTAGTCCTGACCAGGTATCAAGTCTACAAACTGAGGTGACTGAACTACGGGACAATGTGGATACATTACAGAGAGAAAATCAATATAAAGATCAGGTCTACATTTTACTTTTTTTCATATTATCACTTACTGTTCTTTTGGTATATGCCCTGTGTAAGCCCTGCTTTGTTACGAAATGTTGATTTTTTCCTTACGTTTCTTACCCATCCCAACTTTTCATGTGAGACCCTATGCAACTTATATATATAAATCCTTATTAAACCTACTTTCCATATTGTACCTTAACAGCTTTTGTATTAGCCTTGGCCTTGTTTTGGAAACAGTAACAGAACACTGTAAATGAAAATTAACTAAGAAGATAAATTGTAGTATGGGGGTGCTTAATGGGCCTGTAAGCAGGCAAGAATATTAAAATTTATTCTGGTCAAACAGCATGTGGTATTACTTTGTACTGATGGCTTTATCAGTATAACTCCTAGGGACGTCAGTGGCTGAGTGGTTAAGCTTGATGACATCAGACCTTAACCTATTACCTCTGTAGGTTCCAGCTGCACGGCCATATAGAATGTCAATTAACTTAAATTTACAGTAATATTTGAATTTTAGTTTATGACCTCTTTTAACGTTTCACATAAATTTTAATTTTATAACTGATATTAAAATATTGTATTAAATGGCCATATAAAATTAAATTGACTTACATTTTCGTTACAATTTTAAAATAACGATTTTACGTTTTAATTCATTTGACAGGAAGTTGATAGATTACAACAACGACTGGCGGAAATGACGACACGGGAGACAGCGAATGGAAATTTACAGAATAAAATCAAGGTTGGATCACTTTTTCGATCATCTTCGAAAGCGAAAATGATAAAAGTAAGCCGAGACAACAAATTTCCCCGTGCCAACTCCCAGCACGGGGGAGGTATCTATGTGTTGTCAGGCATGAAGAATGAGCGAACTAACTACGCTTTTATATCTACCATCGAATATTCAGTCTTTTTCGAGGATTTTATTATTTTTTCAACTTTTTCGCTCTGATATTTTTTTTGCAGAATTATTTCATTTACAGTTCTTGCTTAATAATTATTTTCAAAGACATTATCTGCATATCTTTTTCATTTATTACTATCATTTGGTTATTTCCTATATCTGTACAAAAATTTATCAGAAAGCATATTATCATTGTAACTTTTGGCTAACGAAGCTAAAGGCCCTCAAATTACGAGATACACAGTTTCTACCCAATCTCCATAGCTGTTACGCAGTTGCATAAATCCCTGGTTATAGCAGGTTAAATTTAAATTATTTTATGCAAGACCACGTCCTTCGAAAGTGATTAAATAGAAAGAATTGGTCCGGGTCTTTGAGTTACTAGAAAAAATACGTTCTGGTACCCTCTGCTGTGTATCATATCAGCCCATGGAACTTTGACATCTTATTTTTTTCTCACAAAATCTTGTGTGATGTCCGTTAAGCCAGAGAACAGTGGATTTTTTTTACAGAAAAGTTAATTTTATGTTCATGCAAAATTTAATAAACATTTAGGTTTGAACTATTCAAAATACAGGTTATCAAACTTTGACCTATGAAATGCTCGAATTAAAAAGTCATGGCTATACGAACTGTATATAAAAGTTCAACAATCTTCCTTTTTTTACCCTAAATGTCCACTTGACCGAAAGTTATGTATACATGTATATACATATGTATATGGTAATTTCATTGTACCCATTGTCTTCAAAATTTGCATACAAATGCTTTACAAAAATTAGAATGCCATGAAGCAAACCTTATTTCAATTCTTGATATGTGGTAAATAATTCATCTTGCCGCTGAATTTTGTGAATCTGTTGTTTTAGGTATAGATACAAAATACTGAGCATTATGATTTCTTATTCCTATTATTTTGAAAAATATCTTGTCTTTCCAATATCTTGAAAAAACCAAATGAAGATTTATAATTATTTGTACAAGGTAATGCACAACTTGACAAGTCTAATTTGTCACACCCTTAGATCAGGAGAAAGCCGGGAATGGGTTAAATAAGCCAATATTTTACCTTCCTCTTGCCTTCACAATGCCTGGTCAATAAGGTGTTTTTGTTTTGGCACCAAAATGGCCTGGGATATGTCCATATTGCAGTGCTGGGGCTTTAAGAGGAATTTCACCATCTGACAATTCTGGCAGTGTGGCCAGTGCTGTGGGGCATTTACCAGAGAGTTTTAACATCCAAGCAAAAGCCCCTACTATTCTTCAGGTGCAAGAGTGCCATATTTGCAACTGACTGGGGTATCACTGGGTATTAAGTAAAAAAAAATTATATAAAATGTATTTTTTTTAAATTATGTAAATTTAAAACCAAACATGGTGTAACTCATTGATTTTATGTACATTTATTCACCTGGAAGAAGATTCTATGTTTACCAAGTTTTTTGAATATTTTAATCTTCCTTGGCTTTTGAAAGTCAAATAAAAGCGTCTGCTACCACATGACCTTCACATTTGGTGTCTGTAAAATAATTACATCATGAGAATTACTCTCTATAAATAATAAGATGCCCTTAAATCTTCATTTGGTTTAATTTTCTCTCAATATTATTTTTCTATCTGTTTTTCTTACTTGGTTAACATTCTAGGTTGATGATGTGAAAGTAAGTATTGTAAACACAGGTTGCTATGGCGATGAAAAGATATGATTGTCTGTAGATGTAGATATTTTTATTTCAAATTTTGTTCTGCTTAGAGATTTTATTTATTTATTTTTGTTTAAGAATGATTAAAGAAATGAAATATTAACAAGAAAACATCATAGGCATGTGAAACTGGATAAGAATAATTTTAGATTTTAAAAGTTCAACTTCTATTTAGTCATAAGCAGTTTTACTAATTACCATGGTCCGACGATTTCATGTAATTCAGTAGCAGAATAAAAAGGTAGTTCACTCTAAACCAGCTAAGTAGTGACTGAATCTATCCATGTGACCAGTGCAGGCGAAGATCAGCCAGCACATTGGTGCTGTCTGATCCTGATCTGTACTGTTCACTATTCAGTCTGTACATATTTTTGAAATTTCCCTAAAGATAATGAATGGTTTTGTCCAGATTAAAAGATGGACCAGACCATTAAAATTATGTAGGGTGATAAGGGTTAAAATGGTCTTATGAGGAGACCACATGCTTTAAAATTATTTAAAATCATTTGTGATTTGTCCTATGCACATTGTTAATTAAAAGGTTAGCTTTTTGGGGTGGTGTTGCCAACAATTGGTATAGATTGTTCATTTTTGTGAACAAGTAGTAAGCTATAGTGTAGGAACCAAGTTATATATGTTTCTACGGTGTAACCTCTACAATCTGGCCCTCTTTAGAGCATTTACCTCTTTACAACAACCGTAACCATTCTTCCTATAGTAAGACTTCAAAATGAACTTTTAACCTCTTTAGAGCAACACCTGTGCGCAACAATCAAAATCTCCTTCCACCAAAAGGTAGAGGTTTTGCTGTATTAGATAAAAGGAATCTCATTTATGTGTAAATATTTCAGTGTTAGATTCTATATCTATTTAGTTGATCTTTATTGAAAGTGTCCATTTATGATTAATTATTTCACTAAATTTGTATGGTAGAGGCCTTTTTTTATTCAAATAGTCAAGGTTATAAGATCATAATACAAAAATATTATAATTATTTAAGTAGTTGGCAGTATAGAATATGGTCAAGCTGTAGAGTCTTTATAAAGGGCAGAATGTGATCAAATGAATATAGAAGAGAAAAACAAATAGTTATTCCTTCTTATCAAAGAATATTTCAGATCTAAATATATCAATGCATTTATAAAATGTGTCATTATAAGCATTTGTTGGGAGGAATTGAATGTCTAATTATTCACTGGTTATTGCAGAAGAATTTGTTTTATTGTTGGACTGCTTTCTTTAGTTCATATATTTCTGTTACATTATTGTTTTAGTTTATGTTATCATTATTTAACTAACTACTCTTCTAATTGCATTTGTTAAAGCACTGACACAGCTATGTTATGACATTTATTATGATTATTGTAAGTAGGAATGAAATTAAGTTCACATACATGACTGTATTTGTTTGCATAAGAATCATGTTTAGCATGAATACAGTCAAATCTGTGTGTTAAATACAGTCAGACCCGAATTGTTTTAAATACAGTCAGACCTATATGGAATACAGTCAGGCTGTCTTGTGTTGAATACAGTCACATTTGTGTTGAATTAAATACAGTCAGACACATTTTGAAAACCATATCTAATTAAAGAGCATATCAATGAAACCTGTCTCACTAGGAACCAGTGCTTTATTTTGCTTTTGAAAATTCAAGATTCAAATAGAAAACTTATGTTAATGTTTACTTACACAGGGGCTAAGTGGCAATGATAGGTTAAGCTAGTAATATGCTTCAAAGCACCTGCCAGTCACTGTTGTCAGTTTGATCCTTTGTTTTTTATCCATTCACCATGCTTATAGAACTATACTGGTTCTGTTACAAATTTCAGCATGTGCTGGTAGCAGTACATTTTAAAGTATAATGAAAAATATGCATTTGCTTTTATTAGTCCCCTACCGGTTTAACCGGAGGGGACTTTAGGTTTACCCTCCGTCCGTCTGTCTGTCAGTCCACAAAACGCGATCCCGCGATAACGCAAAAAGTACTGAAAATATTTTTATGAAACTTGATATATGGATAGATGGCAGTATGGAGATTATGCACGTCTTTTTTTTTCCCATGTTGAAAATTCTGGTTGCTATGGCAACAAATAGCCTGAATTTCAAGATTTCTGATTTAAAATTTTCAGCTTTTTCACTATAAGTTCTTTATTTCTTAAGGTGTTTACTTCAAACTTTAAATATAAGTTTCTGGCCATAAACCACATCATATGTGACAAGGTTTACAACTCTAGCACAAAAATTATCAGTATTACCTCCCTTGAAAAATGTTGTCTTTTTAAATAACTTCTTTATTTCCTAATGTATCTACTTCAAACTTCATATATATGTTTCTTATTATCACTCAACATTTTTGAGAAGGTTAAATACTCTAGCAAGACTATTTCCAGAATTATCTCCCCCTTGAACTTAGATTTTTTTTCGAGAAATTGGTATTTTTCACTCCAACTACTTCATTCCTTATAGGATTTACTTTAAAATCCCACATCATAATAATATGACAAGGTTGTATAAACATAATTTTTCCTTACTAGGCAGGGAAACTTAACACAATACTGTGATGTAGACAAACTTAGAACTCAAAAGATTTAAGTTCATTCATGTCATTCATCCACTGGTAAAATTGAATGGCCAATGGCCCATCAGAATGTTGCTGGGGTTCTAACCGGTAGGGGACTTATGGATTGCTTGCAATACTATGATAATTGCTTGTTTTATAAAAATTTGACCATTTAATGAAGAAGGAAATTATAACTATAAAACTGTAAAACTTCATGTCGAATAGCAACCAAATATTGATCTATTCTATCATATTCTTGCAGGCAATGGAAGAGGAAAATCGAAGTTTACACCAAAAAGTGCACGACTTACAGCAATTGTTACAGGATTACCGCACGAGTCAGGAGAACGAGAAAGACGAGGTCATACAGCTTCAAGATCATTTAGGCAGCAAAATCACGGAACTTTACGAATTTCACGAACAAATTTTAGCAACTTTAAAGAAAGAATCGAACAGCTAGTGTTGGCTTGATGTTGGTAGCGAGTGTGTAAGTTACGGAAAGGATGGTGATGTTTGATATTATGAAGCATGTGCCAATGAGACGGACGGACAGATGGTTTTCTCGGAAGATTTTTCATGTAAAAGAAAATGTATTCAGAAATGGTATTATTAGTCAGTTAAGGGCCGATCCGATGATTGCTATTATGATTTTGATCGAAGAAAACAAGCAAGTCGTTTTCCTGATACTGTATTACATGTAGTTAAGATTTGTTATGGAATGTTGCAGGATAGATTTTTATTTAAGAAGTACTCCTTCAACAAATATTAATCTGGACAAAAAAAAATTTAAGAAGTTTTGTTCAACATTTTTCTTTTTATTTATATGATATGATGTAGTTAAAGGGAGGTGAGACTTGAAAAAAGACTTGAGAATAAGGGGATTTTATGACGATACAATGCAAGTACATGTATGAACAAATTAAAACTGCTAAATTATACCATCAAAAATACATGAGATTGTCAAATTTTTGTTTTTCAAGAAATTCTTCAGATAAATGATTATAATGACGCTTTTTATAAACGCATTGATATTGTAAGATCGGAAATATTCTTTGATAAAAAAGTAATAATTATATTAACCAATTGAATACAATACAATGCAATCCAATGAGGACAAACCTCTTCCACCAATATAAAGCCGGGACACGCAGCTTTATGTTTATGCAGCCCGGTACCAGGCTTTACAACTGTTGGTTGTTCAGTGGTAGTAATTTCTTACATTTCAATCTCTTCAGCTACCTTTTCAAAAATGAACTGTTCCAAATTAAAAAACCAGGCAAGTCCATTTATTATTGCAAATATTGCATTGGAAAGGGAAAATTCTTTGGTTATTACCATCCATTCATAATTGTATATTTTCTCATGAATTTATATCACTTAACACTATACAAATGTACAAATTATGCAAACTTCCATTTTTCATTTGAAATTCATTAAGTTATATGCAGCTTAATTTGAAAGTTCATGATAATTTAGAATGGTTCATAACAGATTCGATGGTAATGCGTATATATCATTACATGTATATTCATTTGGATTTGACCATTACAGTGTAGTATTTTGACTTCCATACAAAACTCTTATTACCGAAAAAACAACAGAGCAAAAGATGGTTAAGATAATTCACTAGTGAGCAAGTTCTTGGAAAATGTAATACAACATCAGAAATAAAAAGTTTGTGAGAAATAAAAATAATAAAACATACTGGGGCACAATCGGCCTTTAAGTTATTTTGAGGATCCTTTTAAAAAAAATTATTTTAAATTGAAACAGGTCATTTTAACTTCTTCTCTAAAATTATAAATATTCTATGACAACGGCCATTGGTTTACTGAAATATATGTAAATAATAATATGGAGGTAACTAGAATAACATAAGATGGTAGGTCTAAACAATTAGCGGCAATTAAAATTAGTATCTAGGATAGATTATAGATAATTAGCTTGTAAATATGCTCGTGTTATTTATTTCTTATCAAGATATTATAGTTATTTGTAAAAGGTCTAAAATCAAAAGTCTAAATATTTCGTTTTTTAGCAAAATATATATTTAACTTGTTATATGTTGATGAAAAATTATTTTTTAACGAGGGTTGTTGGAAAAATGCTCGTACTATGATGTGATAATCATGAAATTAGCATGTGCATTTTTTATTGACCCTCGATGAACGGAAAAGTGCCTAGTTTATGAGTATTTATGTATTTATATATATAGAATTTGTTATCGCAATATGAAAATGTGATACAAAAGGGTTCTTATGCTGTCAATTTGTTAGTCCAATACATTGCAGAGTTTGAAAAAAAGTTTGTATCTCATTTATTTCAAGAGATCTTAATACACAAGTTTTTTTTCATGGACTGATGAAAACAAAACATATGGAAAACAAAACATATGTTAAATCTTTATAATTAGACACAAGAAATGTGCCATTTTTACTTTCATTTACATTGTTTTTAATAAAAAGTTATTAATTACGATGTTTTAGTAAATTTGATGTAATATGCCTAAAGAAAAGACACAAACTTTTATAGGTTATGATAAATAACGTTCTGAAATTATGCTAAATTAATTTAAATGAACGCCTATGTAGTTTAACAGGATGTCTTAACTAATTAATTATCGTCTTAACTAATTAATTATCATTTTAACTAATTAATTATCCTTGGTAATTAATCACATCAGTTAACTATTTTAACACGTCATATTATATAGTCATCATCATATATATACAAATTTTTTCATTTGAAAATAATTTTATAAATTTTATAGGTTGTATCCGTCCAAGAGATTTTTTATAGATTATGCAAAAGACGTATTTTTTACCTCTAAATTACTGGTGTAGTATTAATTTGTTTCAAGGAAGCCGATATCTTACCAGATTAATTCTCAGTTTAAAAATTTGATTATGTTTATACCAAGTTTTATAACCATAAGCCTGCTAGCTGCAACTTATTTCTACCCATGCCACCAGTGCAGACCAGAGTCAACATGAATAATTGTGCCGTCTGATCATGGTCTGCACTGTTCACTATTTTAGTCAGTACATATTGTTTTGAAATCTGCCTTAATAATAATAGTTTTGTCCAGATTGCAGGATGGACGAGTCCACTGGTAAAATGATCATTAACTTGATTTGAGCCGCGTCACGACAAAACCAACATAATGGGTTTGCGACCAGCATGGATCCAGACTAGCCTGAGCATCAGGATCCATGCTGTTCGCTTACAGACCCTATAACAAGTAGAGAAACTGATAGCGAACAGCATGGATCCTGATCAGACTGCGCGGATGCGCAGGCTGGTCTGGATCCATGCTGGTCGCAAACTCATTTTGTTGGTTTTGTCGTGACGCGGCTCATTTATGGTGTATTTTTGTCAAGTCGGCAACACCTGAAATAAAACATAAGATTTTGTTTTTATCATTATAACTTATAGACTAATGCTTAGCAATTTTTAAAGGATTTTAGTACATCTTTAAAGGTTTAAGACACATTTTGAGACATGTTGTGAATTTATTATTTACAGCCAATAATCCATTTTACTTTTTTATTTTTCTTTCTTTTTTTTTTCTATTTTTTATTATTGTAGACTTTAGTTTTTAAAGTTATATTATATTTTGATTAATCAGTGGATCTGATAATATAGATATTAATAAATATACATTGCTTTTATTTACAATAAAAAAGTATTTCATGTTTAGTCAGAACTTATATCAAAATTTTATTTCTATATTTCTTTTAAGCAAAGTTGTTCTTTTGTTTTTTTGATAACTTAAGATGTTTATTAATGTGGTATGTCATGGAAACAGATACCGGTTGTCCATATAGGGGAGTCCCCCAGAAAAGTATTAGTCATTTTATATTTTGGAGGATAGTGCAAGATACAGATACAGAAAGATGCCCCAATTCCAGAAGCTTCTCCTGGTTCTTTATCATGCCAAATGTTAAAGCACTCATACACGGGACCTCGATTTAAAGACTCGTCTACAAGACTGATTAGTAATTTAAGTTGGCCTGCCTGGGAATTGAACCCATTATGTCGAGATTACAACCCATTGAGCTATACAGGCTGGCTAAAACTTCAAAATAGATTTGAGCCGTGCCATGACAAAACCAACATAATGGGTTTGCGACCAGCATGGATTCACACCAGCCTGCGCATCCGCGCAGTCTGATCAGAATACATGCTGTTCGCTAACAGGCCCTATTACAAGTAAAGAAACTGATAGTGGGTGCGCAGGCTGGTCTGGATCCATGCTGGTCGCAAACCTATTATGTTGGTTTTGTCGTGATGCGGCTCATTTTACTTCTCTTGGGTAACATCTCCCAGTAAGGTATTGGTTAACATTTAAATGTCAAATGTTTTTCTCATCACTGACATATTTTTTTTAATCTTTATATACATGTTAATGGTAGTAATTGTTAATCACTTACAAAGAGCCATAACTCTAGCAATGAGTTCCACTGAATTATAACACTAAATTCCTAGCTGCATCTTGTTTCATTATCAAGCACTGAGAATAGTCTAGGATTGCTGTTTATTTAAGTACATGTATGAATTTTTTTGTATGAGGACATGAAACAATATAGTATCTTTTTCACATGGCATATCACAAAAATATGAAGGCACATCTGGTCTTCCATAAGATTGTTGTTTCTTTTTGTATTAAAATATACATGAAATGTAAATATCTTAAATGTTTTTATGAAAAAGAAAATAATTTTGTAAATATTTATTAATATTTTTTTAAATGTTAATATTATTTTACTATACACAGTTTTTTTATGTATGTATATTTGATAGTAAAAACAGGATAATGTGATGTAATAATGATAATAATATTAATAATTGTGTTAGACATATGTAATATAATGTAAAGAAACTAAATCGAGTATCCTAATCCAAGAAATGTAGCTCCAAGTAACACATATAGTAATGTATTATATACTTATAAACGAAATATTGAAAAATGCTGATGAAATAAAACGCATATTTTCATTTTCTGTATTTTCACTGTAAAAATTTATTTTTCACTGCAGTGAAACATTTTTTCCATATTTTCACTTGTCTCTTGCAGGACTACTTTTTTCCAAATTAAGTCAATACAAATAATTTTCGAGGACGTCTTTTAAAGTCAAAACATTTTTAAGACATTTATTTAAGATATTAAATATATATATAAAGTAACATAGAATCAAATAGGCTTTGCTTCCCACATTTCATTGCTTTAGGAAATCATTCGTTTTTATCATGTGGTAGCTATACATACATAAATGTACTGCCGAATTCAAAACTGTTAATTTTGTTGTCATACATCAGTATATAAATTAATTATTCAACATAACATGGGAATTGTGTAATTTTCCCATTAAAATATGGTAATAAAATATATTAAGAGATAAATATGTGTTCTTTTGTTCATTGTGTTTATTTGTTGTTGGCTTCAGCTGAAAACCAACATTTACTCATACTTGTGCACAAGTTCTAACTTAAACATGCACCAAATTTTGGTATCCCAACTTGGTGACAAGTGTAAATGGTGAGTGCCAAGGTAAATGTTGAATGGTGAGTGTAAAGGTATATGTCAGATGGTGAGTGCAAAGGTAAATGTCAGATGGTGAGTGCCAAGGTAAATGTTGAATGGTGAGTGCAAAAGTAAATGTTGAATGGTGAGTGCAAAGGTAAATGTTGAATAGTGAGAGCAAAGGTAAATGTTGAATAGTGAGAGCAAAGGTAAATGTCAGATGGTGAGTGCAAAGGTAAATGTCAGATTGTGAGTGCAAGGGTAAATGTTGAATGGGGAGTGCAAAGGTAAATGTCAGATGGTGCGTGCAAAGGTAAATGTTGAATGGGGAGTGCAAAGGTAAATGTCAGATGGGGAGTGCAAAGGTAAATGTCAAATGGGGAGTGTAAAGGTAAATGTCAAATGGGAAGTGCAAAGGTAAATGTTGAATGGGGAGTGCAAAGGTAAATGTCAAATGGCGAGTGCAAAGGTAAATGTCAAATTGGAAGTGCAAAGTAAATGTTGAATGGTGAGTGCAAAGGTAAATGTCAGATGGTGAGTGCAAAGGTAAATGTCAGATTGTGAGTGCAAGGGTAAATGTTGAATGGGGAGTGCAAAGGTAAATGTCAGATTCTGAGTGCAAGGGTAAATGTTGAATGGGGAGTGCAAAGGTAATTGTCAAATGGGGAGTGCAAAGGTAAATGTCAAATGGGGAGTGCAAAGGTAAATGTTGAATGGGGAGTGCAAAGGTGAATGGTGAGTGCAAAGGTAACTATCAGATGGTGAATGGAAAGGTAAATGTTGGATTGTGAATGCAAAGGTAAATGTTGAATGGTGAGTGCAAAGGTAAATGTCAGATGGTGAGTGCAAAGGTAAATGTCAGATTGTGAATGCAAAGGTAAATGTTGAATGGTGAGTGCAAAGGTAAATGTCACATGGGAGTGCAAAGGTAAATGTTGAATGGGGAGTGCAAAGGTAAATGTTGAATGGTGAGTGTAAATGTTGAATGGGGAGTGCAAAGGTAAATGTCCAATGGTGAGTGTAACAGTAAATGTTGAATGGTGAGTGCAAAGGCAAATGTCAGATGGTGAGTTCAAAGGTAAGTCAGATGGTGAAAGCAAAATGGTCAGAATAATTTTACATTTTGCCATTATTGTGTTGACTTATATTTCACTATGCAAAAGTTAGAACCAAGGCAATTTCTATAAATATCGTTTTGAATGTATCAGTAGCATTCAAGGAGTGAAGCAGTCTTGTTATATTTTAGGTAGTTTTTTATATTTTATTCAAAACAATTTTCATCTTCAATTATGGTCAATCATCATTATAAAAGTCAATATTTTGAAATATTTTACTAATTCAGCGAAAAAAATGAGCAAATTGTCACTTTGATCGGTATGGCTATTTGTAAAGCAGAAATGTGAAAATATCGCAGGAATTCTGCAATAGTAATCAATATATGACCAAAACAACAACTGGGTAGGTAAACAAATCTCAATTTCTTATAGTAAATCAAATTGAAAAGAAATGAATTGATCCATACTTATGCCACAACCTTATCGGTGATGGTTTTACTTTTGAACAATTCCTGCATTTTATCCACATACCTGCGTTTTAAAGAATATAAATAGTGTTATAAGTGACACAAGGTCAATACTTTGTTTCTGTTCATCATTGTCTCATAATGGGCATAGTACAAGGGTTGCTTAAAGGTCACTCTAACACTAAATGCCTGGTAGGGAAGGAAACAAAATACAAGAGCACCGCTAGGCGGAGCATTATATGCCCGAAAGTGTTTTTTTTTATATTAAGGATGAAGCATTTGTAAGACATTACATAAATTAAATAAAGTATTACCTCCTTCCAATAGCAATCCTCCTATAAAGTTTGAATATTGTGGGCCAAATAGAAATTAAGTTATGCTCCGGAAACTGTTTTCAGTTTTAAAGTAATAGTGACCTTGACCTTTCACCTTGTGACCCCAAAATCAATAGGGGTATTCTACCCAATATGGACAATCATCCTATGAAGTTTGAATATTGTGGGCCAAATAGACCTTAAGTTATGCTCCGGAAACTGTTTTCAGTTTTAAAGTAATAGTGACTTTGACCTTGTGACCCCAAAATCAATAGGGGTATTCTACCCAATATGGACAATCATCCTATGAAGTTTGAATATTGTGGGCCAAATAGACCTTAAGTTATGCTCCGGAAACTGTTTTCAGTTTTAAAGTAATAGTGACCTTGACCTTTGACCCCAAAATCAATAGGGGTCTCCTACCCAATATGGACATTCATCCTATGAAGTTTGAACACTGTCGGCCACATGAAACTTAAGTTATGCTCCGGAAACTGTTTTCAGTTTTAAGGTAATAGTGACCTTGACCTTTGACCTTGTGACCCCAAAATCAATAGGGGTCTTCTACCCAATATGGACAATCATCCTATGAAGTTTGAACACTGTGGGCCAAATGGAACTTCAGTTATGCTCCGGAAACTGTTTTCAGTTTTAAGGTGATAGTGACCTTGACCTTTGACCTTGTGACCCCAAAATCAATAGGGGTCTTCTACCCAATATGGGCAATCATCCTATGAAGTTTGAATGTTGTGGGCCAAATGGAACTTAAGTTATGCTCCGGAAACCAAATTGCTAACGGACGGACGGACGTACGGACGGACGGACGGATAGACAGACAGACGGACGCAAGGGGGTATAACATAATATGCCCGAAATTCTTTCGGGCATATAATAAAAGCAAAATTCCAAGATTAAAGACGAAGAAGCTACAGTTATGAACCTTATCTGTTGTTTTTGTGGGGTTTTTGGTGGATATTTACACCAAACCAACACAGTAGAGGTCACTGGAGACTTTTGAGCTTTACTGGTGGAAGAAGACTCTTTTTTTATTTCATTGGGTTTTACGTCACATCAACACAGTATAGGTCATATTGTGACGTTCCAGCTTTACTGGTGGAGGAAGACCTCAGGTGCCCTTCCGTGCATTATTTCAGGCACAAACGGGCACCTGAGTAGAACCACCACAGTTCCTTAAGCTAGCTGGATAGCTTCCTCACATGAAAGAATCCAAAGTCCCTGTCGGGATTCGAACCCACAGCGGTGAGGGGCAAGTGGTTTGAAGTCAACGACCTTAACCACTTGGCCATGGACGCCCCTGGAAGAAAACTTCAGGGGCCCCTATATGCATAATTTGAGAGATGAGGGAGCACCTGGCAAACAAACATACACAAAAACTTCAATAATCTAGATGTTTGTCATCTCTCCATTTACTTTGTATGGTTGAGCTCCAAACTGAACGAAAAAAAAAGAAAAAAACCCACAAAAGACAATGAATCAATTTATTAACAGTTAAAGGAAACACAGTTTCCACGTTTTCTATGTCTGACATATAGACACAAGCAAAAACAACAGTCATTCCAATGCTAACCTAAAGTATCAACTCGTGTAAACCAACTAGCGGCACTGCATTCACACACGTTTTAATGTTTACACATGTACTACACAGTTATACATCAACTTTTTATTTTAATATGTATATCATTCTGCTGTAAAAAAACGTTTGTTCATATATACACATGTGAATAAAACATTCACATATATGTATGTCTCGTTTAAAATGTGCACCAGCATCACTTTATGCAAACATTTTTATAGTTATCTTTACACATATGTACCAGGTTACTTAAACATACACATTTTTTAAAACGTGTGAATCAAGAATTTAACATATATATATTATCGGCTTAATGTGTACACATGTTTCACATTTATTCAACGCATAGCTCTTGTTTACAGTCGTGCATTAACAATAAAGCACTAACATCCAATCACTTCAGTTACATGTACATGTCGACAAACTATCCAACACATGTTTTGTTCTACGTGTATGTATTAGCTATAAAAGCATCCACATGTGTATTGCTTTTGTTCCTGCAGTAAGCCAAAATATAGGGGGCCACAGTTATGATTTCAAATCAACTGAAAATCTTGATGCTTCCATAGTAAGAAACTAACAAAATGAGTAAATACTTCAAAAATCTTGCAAAAAGCCTAAAATTGTATGTATAAAACACTAATTTTTTAAATGAAACTTCTGTTTAAATCAAAATCTCACACATGTTAAAATTTTTTTTTACAAAAAATGTCCCCTACAAGACACATCTGTGAAAGAAATACGAGATGGAAAAAAACAAACTGTAAATGTAAGTAATCTCTTTGAGAAAGCAAACTAGACTCAAACGAGTGAGTGTAAACACAATGTACAATGTACAGACATATAATTATATATACATAAATAACTATCTTGTTCTACAAGCGTCTACAGAAAAATCTGGCCTCAAGGTCATAAAACATTTTTCTTAGGTCCGTCTCGAATCTCAGGATTTTCATTGGTCAATATACATCATGTGCGGGATTTTCATTGGCACAATATAAATCTTGCTGGATTTTCATTGGTCAATACACATCATGTGCTGGATTTTTATTGGCCATATAAATCTTGCTGGATTTTCATTGGTCAATACACATCATGTGCTGGATTTTGATAGGCCAATAGAAATCTTGCTGGATTTTTATTGGCCAATATAAACCTTCTGCCGATTTCTGACCAATCAGAGATACCTGAGGTACGAGTTCAAGCTAAGAAAAATTCTTTGTAACCTTAGACATTGTTCTGACAAAACTTAGTCAACCAAAAAATAAAAAGGAACTTAAAAACAGGAAAAAAAATAACTAGGAAAAAACAGTACAAAAATTGTCTTCTATTATTCTGTAAATCATGCACACACTAAATGAGATCAATATAAAGAGTAAAACAAACATATAACATGGCTGGATTCTCACAATAAACTTACAACACATGTTGAATATAACAGAATTGCCA